AGACTCGAACCCACAACCTTTGTGGGGTCTGACTTACGGGTCTGAGTTACGGGTCTGACTCTCTAACCATTAGGCCATGACTTCCCACCAAAAAGGTGGATATTTATACATTTTTAAGAGTATGAAATTATGCAAGCATTTCAAAGATATTAACTTAGGTAGATCCCCTTCTCTACATGGGTTGGCTTTTTATTTCAAGTGTTTTGTAATGTAAATTGTGAGTGGAAATACGCTAAATACACTTATACATTTTATATGTTTTGCATTATTAATGTTGCAAGAGATAATAAAAGTCCATATACAGATCCAAAAGTCCTTTTCATATTTTTAGAGCTTTTCTCTCCAAATGTTTACATATTTTCAGTGAATCAAACATAAATCTATATTTTTGTATTTAATATACATAAATTATGTTACTCAAAGAAAGGTTGTATACTCTTTGAATTGTGTTGAATTAATTCAGGAGCTATTGATAAGACTTTGTTGAAATTATTTCAGGATTTAGGGTACAATTTGGGACTGACCCAACCCAAACCCAAACCAGTTAAGCGTAAACCCCACCCCACAGTCATGACTAATGTCTTTGGCTCAATTTCATTGGTCAGCTCTGTCACAGAACTAATTGACCACTCATTGCAATCAAAACTCATCCATGGCTCTCAGTATGGGTGGGATCACAGAACTAATTGACCACTCATTGCAATCAAAACTCATCCATGGCTCTCAGTATGGGTGGGATCACAGAACTAATTGACCACTCATTGCAATCAAAACTCATCCATGGCTCTCAGTATGGGTGGGATCACAGAACTAATTGACCACTCATTGCAATCAAAACTCATCCATGGCTCCCAGTAGTGGTGGGCAATATGACCAAAATCTTATATCACAATATCAGTAATTGTATTTAACAATTACAATATATATATATCACAATATAGTTATTTTTGCTTTGAAGGGGTCATGACATGTTTTTTTTATTATTATTATTATTATTATTTGAATATGTTCCTTGAGGTTTACTTATAATGTTAATAAAAAATTTTGCACCAAAAAAAAAAAAAAGTGGAAAAATGATTATTTTCAACCATCATTCTGAATCTCTCTCTGAGAAACAAGCTGTTTTAAGGGGCGGGTCCTTTAAGACTTCAGTCAGTAATAGGCCACTGTTATGATTGGCTAACATCATTGGAAACCGTACATCCCCTTGCTATTGCATACTTTGAGTGTTTTGAAAACAATTAAAATAAAAGGGTAATTTCCAGACAAAGCAATATGAAATCATTTACTTACGGTTTGCAGCTGCAGTCAGATCTAGTACTGCTTCACCTTTCAACATGGGCGTCGCCAGGCCATTTTTAGGGCGGCTATAGCTAGGGTTGGGTATCGTTTGAATTTGATCGATTCCGATTCTGCTTATCGATTCAGATTCTTACCGATTCCTAGTTTCGATTCCAATAAGACAAAAAATCCAATATAAAAAAAATTAAGTCAAACATTTAGATGTCAAACATTTATTCTGTCTTTTTACAAAGCATTCTGTTGCAGCTGAATAACACGAGCAAAAATCAGCAGCCTACAGAACACTGCAAGGGGAATTTTACCTATGCTTTAAAAAAAAAATACCACAGCAAAAACAACTAGATTAATATAAATTTCAAATATTAAAGTGTTAAAGACAAGTAAACAGTCAGTAATAAGATAGGAACAAACAAATCAATTAGCAATATCATAAATAGGGGAGAGCGGGGCACAAAGTAACACTTTTTGATTTTCTCAAATTATGTAAATCCACATGGGGTTCAGAGTATAATTTTTTTATCCACAGTAATTTCACACTTGTCTAGTACAAATATGTCGCTTTGTTTCATAATTACAGTGTATACGTTTTTGCACGTTGTAACAACCATATAACAGCTTAAAATGTTATCTGATCGAATGAAAAAAATATACAATACAAACTAAAATATTTTGTAAATAAAATAAAATAATTATTTATTTCAAATAAAATAATGGTGTTTTTAAGAATTAAAAATAATCTGATTTTGGAGTTTGACAATGAACACATTGCAACCATGCTTGGGACGGCCCACATAAACGAGCCCTGTTTCTCGTCGTTTATCATTAAAATGTATTAAAGTAAATAGTGTGAATTACATCGCTAATGTTATAGAATAGCACGGCAGGGCACATTGTAACACAGTGTTACATCGTGCCCAGGGTTTGAAATTAACTTTTTCACTCACCAGCCAATTTGGGTACAACATTTTTAAGTTACCGGCCATTCATAATTTCTACTAGCAAAAAAAATTAAACAAATAAATAATGGAAAAAAAAGCCGGAGGTAAGCCAACAGCTTGAGACACTGGATGCGACGAAGTGACCATTGCAAATCATTTGTACTTTGTCAAACAGTAGGCCTACGTCATAAATAGAACGAGGCATCAATTTACACTTTATAATATTTGTAAATGGAAAACACCTCATTTATAAGTGTCTCTAAATTACAGAGACACTGATTTTTATCTTTAATCAGGCTCTTACTGAATTAACATTTTACTTAAATTAAAATTAATTAGAATTAAACATTTAAAGAGAAATAAACTATTAAAGTTTGTTTACATTGCTGTTTGTTTAGGCTACATGCATTTTACCTTGTCGTGGCTGTTTTCAGGCAGAACCTTTAATGTTGTCATATCACACAACTGTATAACACAATTCTGTGTCATTTCTGAATGGATCGAGCGATTTGCGCTGTTTATCTCTTATAAATCGTGTTAAAGAAATTAATTAGTAAACATAATTTACGAAAAGTAACCCACCAAATTGGCTAGTGATTTGACAGCGTTACCCGCCACAGCTGATTTTTACCCGCATTTGGCGGGTTGGTGGGTGTTAATTTCAAACCCTGATCGTGCCCCATCTGCGTAACTGGAATTTAAAACTGGTTACTAGTCTTCTGACAGTTAGCGAAGCATTAAAACATAATTTAAACTGATAAATAACAGATTGGAGATTAAAATAATAGCAGATTTGTCTAATTTTAAATGAGTAATAAAAACTGAAATGAAAAATGTACTTAAGCCAGAAATATAATTTTACTATGGTAAAATAAATGTTCAGCAATATCTTCAAAAGACTTTTGAATTTTGGCACACTTTTTTTCTCTATATAATATTGATATAGTAACTAGTAAATACTGTACATTTTGTTTTGCTAGCATGTGTGGAAATATTTAAACCACGTGTGTTACAACTTACCCCGTGTTACTTTGTGCCCCGCGCTCCCCTAAATACAACTGAACAAAATTTCAGGTACAGTACAGAAACTGTAATTAAAAGTTTAAAAACACTGCATAGTTTTATTTTCATAAATAAAATATAGATTAATCAATTAAAGTTATTAAATATATTCAGTCAAGATCAGTGAATGATTTTCTTTTGTTCTTTGATTAACATTAATGACAGGCTGCAGTCTCTTTAACACCGAATGCACGCAGATCTAAAAATACTGTATGTGTGTTTTCTTTCTCATCCGTTTACGTTCACGTAAGACAAAAACAGCTGTGTTTATGATGATATGCTGACGTAGTTTTCTGCATATTGGTCGACAAATACGGAAGAAGTCCGGTTCGGCCCGGAACATCCTTTTCTACAGTGGAAATACACGGAACGGTTCGAGAACGGACACAAACCGGGAACCCGTACCGCGATCTCTGTTCTCTGTGCTCGCGCTTGCGCTTCGTGTACGTTGCACGCAAACATGGCGCAAGTTCTTTCCGTTCCTGCACTTAAATCGTTTTTAATCACATTAAAATGCGAACGCAGGAATCGTTAAGCAGAATCGAAATGCACGCGTCTTATCGAATACCCAGTTCTTGGAAATTTGGAACGTTTTCGATACCCAACCCTAGCTATTCATGGGTTTCAGTCACGTGACATTTTTGTTGCGGCCACCATCTTTAGGACCATGCGTAGCCTCTCCTTGGTAATTGGAAACCAACACTAAACCAACAACGGAAAACAATGGTATTTAAGAAAAAAAATATTACTTTAGGATTAGATCCTTATTTACTGTCAAGCGAACTGCTGACTCCACTAAAGTCTAGTGAAAACTTGCCAACTTGACGTTTGCTGATAGGCTGTTTACATCTACCTCATACACAATCTCTCTCCGTCCACTCGGGCCATTTTCACCTGTTAGAGACTTGTCCATCGGCCCGGATCCATCTGCAGCACTCGGCCTGGATGTTTGCGTACTCACTTTCAGATTCTGGGCTGAATCAACCGGACCAGATGCGACAGCCGTAACTTGCTGACACTGCGGCATCCAAGCCGGACTCTGCCCGTTGCGCAGCATGCCAGACTTCGCACAGTTGCATTTCTATATCTACTGTACTGTTCATTAATATTTCATTTAAAATTAATAACGTTACCTAGACAAAACGTTTACTTTCATTTTAATTATATAGATTATAATACATAAATAACATGACTTAACAAATCTATAAACATCTCATTATTATGAAAGCAATTTTAAAGTCCATTAAATAACTAGCTTGACCAAGCTGGCATGAGGAAAATTTATTTACAAAACAATTTATTTACAAAACCATGCAATTACAGCAAAAAAGCAGCAGTTATACAATAAGTGTAGATAAAATATTTAACACATTTTGCAAAATTACCCATGCATTTACTTGAATGAATGAGGCATTTATATGTACACTTGGACTGTAACATCTAATAAATAAAGGTTAAAACATTACACATTTAAAAGGTGTTTTGAAAAACACATTGGTAAATGGCAAAGTTTTTGAATTAAACATTTTGTACTTGGTAAAATAATTTTAATAATTATTACCTAACTATGAATACATTTTAAAGGTAATGAGTGAATACTGTGATAACTGTTGCTCATTGTGCAGCATGTCTTTCCACATCTTAGTCCAGTGAGTACTTTGCTTGGGAGCTTTCATTTCTGCACCTGTAAAGAGCAAATAATGCACAAGTATCTATTACTAAAGGTCTATCTGAATGCACCAAACTGAATGAAAGTAAATGTATATATATTGTATCAAAGCACATGTTGTTTGAAAGACTATTTACTTATTATTATTTACCCATTTAATTCTAGCACATTAAGTGGCTGTGTCCAGTATGATTGAAATTTAAAGTGTGTATCATCCTAATTAAAGAGATAGTTTACCCAAAAATGAAAATCATTTACTTCCTTTATGTCGTCTACACGTGACAAACCTGTTGGTTTTGATTACCAGCATTCTTCAAAGTATCTTCTTTTGAGTTCTGCAGAAAAACAAAAGTCAGGGGTTTGAAAAAAAAAAAATGAGGGGGAATTGATGTAATAATGTAAATGATGACAGAATTCTGGGTTAACTATACTTTTAAGTAAATTAGTAGAAACACTTTTCACTAGTTATCACTGTGCAGAAAAATAACAGTGAATGCCACAATAAAATGCTTGAAAAATACACATTCAATAGATCCATAGGATCCATAGGGTCAGTTTGTCTCCTCAGTTAAGATTCCCCTCAATTGTTGCAGAAAACATTATATTACATATATTACATATGGTCAGTGCAGACATGCACTTGAACTTACTTTCTCATGGACTCGAACTGCTCCTTGCTAGTCCAGTCAGAGAAGTATAATAAAGATGAAGTCTACTGTCTGACTCCAAGCACTGCTCAGTGTTCACAGCTGTCTGAGGAACTTCTGCCATTTCTTCTGTGATGAAACTTCTCTTGGTTACTAAAAAACATTAAAAGACATTTGTGGCACATTTAAGATAAATATTCAGTTATTCCTGTATGTTTCTACATGCTAAGTGAAGCAGCAACTAAAGTAGCAACAAAACTGTGATTCTGTGTTTTGTTGTAGTCAGTTACATGTGTTTTGATATTGGTGAGCACCTGAACATATAAGTCTGCTTACATTTAGTAACTGTAAAAGCAGGGCACAGCTACTGCAAATGATCTCAGACATATTGATGCATATACATTTGATTGCAGCAGTACATTGCCATCGTAAGAATCACTGCAACTAGCTTATTTAGTTAAATGAGATTATTTTAAAATAACGTTCTTCTACAGAATTATAATAGTAATAGTACAAACAGGTCCTCTTCACTCTAACATCCTTGAAGTAATTACATTCAGCTACATTCATAAAAATAAGAATGTGGAAACTAAAACTACAAACCTTTCTCCTTGTATGCGCTGGACCGTCATCATCCTCCTCTTCTTCATCTGTTTGTTTGCGGATCGGAGTGTTTTTCGTCAAAGT